CCAGAGACTTGCCCTTTTCAATATTCTCAAATTGGCAATTCGAGATACACTTGATTGTAGTAGTTTGACTGTCTTGGAATGTTACAAACAAATTCTCTTCTTGGTTTTCTCCCTCTTGGCTAGGCCTATTATTATATGTTTCCTTTTGACCATGCGTTTCCATCATGGTAGAAGCATTGTTCTCTGCTGAGTCTCCCATTGTTTTCAGGCTTGCATTGAAGGGCCTTAATTACCCAAGCAGGAAGTAGACACAGTACTGATAAACAATTCAGGCTGGTGGTGGACGGCTTAGAAAGCTTGCTTCTTTGGCCTAGCAATTACCTTGATTGTTGTTACAAAAATTTATCAAAAATAAATGGTTTTGTACCAAAATACCATTATCAGCCACTTACTCATATGGTATATGAGTAATCACACATACCTGACACAAAATATCTGGAAATTTAGCTGTTTTTGAAATAAACGGCTGATACCGCCTCATGTGCTGCGTGCCTCATAAACGAACCATACTACTCTACTGTGTGGAGCCACAATGGAGCTAAGCAATAATTAGCCCTTCTTAGCAGATTAACTAGATAAACAGTTTGGCTTTGACTGAATCAGTTTGTTTGTTAAGTGTAGGTTTCAGTTCTTTGATGAGTTGTTTCTTTAAATAAACAATTAAACTTGGATTTGCACTTAGATAAAACCTTGAAATAATTAACAGTTTCAGTAGCACTAATATAATGATCTTTTAAATGTTGTCCTATGTTACCTTTACTGTGCATCATTTCTTATTTAAAATAAAATTATTTAATCAATCAGTAACTTGTGTTTTTTTTAATGAAATTAATGATTTTCTTTAAAAAGATGCTACCCAAGACGAGACTTTTTTTATACCTTGTTTGACAAACTCGCTGACTATTGTACATTTTACTGTACAGTTTTTCCGTTTTAAAATGTTTGTGCTCGTCAATTTAGATTTGTTGTTGATGTTATCCATGACAGTAATACGTCCGCAAATATAGTAATAATATCTAATAATATTAATAATTTTAAAAAATACTTAGACCTACTCCCAGAGCTATACATAGGAGCTAAAAACTAATTTATTTTAGTTCTCAAATATGCATATTCTTTATGTTGATTTATTAATTAAATTTTTGCTACAAGGTATTTTACAACATTTGTTTATTTTTTTTTTCTTTAATTTTATAATTGAGGGCCATTTTTTATTTCTTGATTCAATTCTTGCTTATACAGTATTTAAATATATGAAGATTAAAAAAAATATATATCATTTCTATTACCGAATTTTTCATTGGGGCCATTTTTACCTACCTGTCATATGGGGCCATTTTTACCGGGGCCATTTTTTCTGGGGCCATTTTTTCCGGGGCCATTTTTTCTGGGGCCATTTTTTCCGGGGCCATTCTTACCTACATTCCGCTTCCGCCCCCTTGACCCCCGACCAGGGCTCTGCCCCTGGACCGCGATGGGGGCCTAGGCGGCCCCCCTATACCGCCGGCCTATTTCATTTTACTCTCCTGTTACTTTCAAATTTCTCCTGCTACTCAAATTCTTAAATAAACCCCTGACAGTCTAATATGACCACAACATAAGGAAGTCCACTCTGTAAATGTTTAGCATAATATTGTACAGAGAATTTCAATTGTTTATCAATATCATCCAAATCCAAATCACGTTTTATGCAAGCATAGACGAGGAAAGATAAACATAATAATTTTGATATGTAAATGTTTTATGTTATGTGTTGATTGGTCTTAGTTAATAATATTACAGTTTAATGGCTTAATGTAATAATATTACAGTTTAATGGTTTACAGTAATATTACAGTTTAATGGCCCCAGAACTCTGAACTCCGACCCAGGGCCCTTGGCGGCCCCCTAGCCCCAATCATCAGTGCTCGTGCTTGGCTCGCAACCTGACCATTTCCATTCTCGTGGCCACGGCCCTGCTATGACATGTGTGGCTGAACTGTGTTTGGTTGAATCAGGGTAGAAAGAAAAACAATCAACAATTGTCGGGGGAGGGGGGTGGGGCGGGGGGGGGGGGCAAACACAAATGTACGGCATTATTTTTTTAATAAATAATATTTAATTTGTATACAATAAAATTTTATCACTACGAGAACAGATAATGATGTCAAAATATTGTATATACATGGAGGCTTCATGATCAAAAGTTCTTGCCAAGATTTGGTATGTTGGTCCCTGGCGCAGCTGGGCTGCTGGGCCGCGGTTTGGTGCCATCGTAAATACAGCAGGCCGTCATGTAAAAAGTTTGCGGAACGCTGCACTATAGCATTGCTGAAGAATAGCCATAATGACCCGATCCATATCGACCAAGATTCTCGAGATAGAGGATAGGCTCTAGCTATGCTAACTAAACCTGAGCCTACTGTAGGCACCTAGGTGTAGGCCTATCTCTCATCGACATCATAGGCTAGGCTAGGCCTGTGTAGGGATAGCCGATATGATTAAGGCCGAGCTTATACCATTGCTTGTGCACAAGTGTATCTTTTTTTTTTTTCCTCATGGATTTCTAACACATTACTTATGTTTCAAGCCATAAGATTAAAATTACACAGAAATAATATAGGCCAACCGAGACAATAATAGTAATAGGTTGATTTATAAGGTGCAAATACACAAGGTAAAGGAAAAGCAGAAAATTTGATAGATTCAGAGAATAGAGAAAATAAAATAGAACAGACTATTCTAAAATTAACCAAAAAAATGGAAAACCACATAAACAGATTAGTGCAAGGAACCACAACCATTGCACTGTTTTCTAGGCAATTTGAAACCACTGGTGGTCAGTACTTCCATTAGGTGCTGTAATTGTTTTGGCATCTAACTAGCCTACCAAAAAACAGAGGTGAGAAACAAGACAGTTCATAGGAGAAAACATGGGATCATAAGGATGCAAAAAGGTTGAGTTTTAAGCTGCTTCTTAAAAGTAGCCAAGGAAGGAGACTCGCGAATATAAACTGGGTGATCATTCCACAGTTTAGAGCGGCAACACTAAAAGACCTTACCCCAAAAATTGTTAAACGGCATTTGGGTGTGAAAAGTGTTTTAAGTAGTTTGGCGTGTTCTTTTACATGCTGTAAGTTGCCCAGTGGTGAAGTGTCTTGTATACAAGGAAAAAATCTTTAATGCAATTCTGTTAGTGTGGGTGTGATATGCTGTGATCTAGGAATGAGTTTAACAAGATTCATAATCCTTACTTGGTAATGATCCTCAGGCACCATTTTAGCTTTTATCGATTATGTATGAAAGGAATTCTTGCATTATGTACCACACGAGTCAGCTGCCTTCCATCTTGTAAATGACCTTAATACTAAAAAACAACATAGTACAACTCAGTATAATAATGCAGTATTACAATAGCATTGTTATTATTAGCACTGATCACAGCCCTTATCTTAATTTTAAAGGTTACTCATCAACATTATGTTATGATTCAAAATTTAAAAAATGGGTGTTCTTGACTTTGACCAACAAAAAGGTTTAACACAATTTTTTGATATTAGCTTTGTATTCATAAAGTTGTCTTTTGAATTTCCATAATTCTACATGGAGACTAGGGCAGTGGCGGACCGTCAAGGCAAGCAAGGTATGCAGTGCATACCCTGGCTAAAACAAATAAAAAAAATATATTAGTACAGTTTCTCCGCTTTATTTAGCATTTCTTAGTCAGGATCTTATACACCCTAATTTTTCGAGTGGAATGCTATTCATTGGAATAGTAAATTTTTTCAACATTTGGCCTACTTTGGTACCTAGGATAAGTCACAGTCGGGACTATCGCATTGTACTTAGAATTTCCGCATGGCTGGTCTTTGATATCAGCCAATCACATATTCAGTGAGTCAATGGAAGTCAGAGCATACCCTACAACGCTTAAATTTGCTATTGTGACAACCGTGTGGTGGCGTCAGAATAACCAATTTAACACTGGAATGGAAGCAGTGCTTCCAACGTGCGCATGCTCTTCTCACAAATCGGGACCTCCACTGCCGATCGGGTATTCTATCTACAAGAATATATTTACATACATATGACCGGTATAGAAGAAACTTTGAATTATTATTATTTGAATTGAAATTTGTTAAAGTACAGGAATAAGAATTCTTTTGAAGAGAGGACAACCATGCAGGTATTAAAAATAACATGCATTGTATTTTGACTATAAAACGCAATCTGATTCTGTATAGTAGTAGGCTTCCAAACTTTTCCTATCACTAGCAGGCCCTAGCATCAGTGGCAGGTCTTAAAATGGAAGGGAGCTGATGGTGTCAGGAAGGTAAAGTGGGGGATCGGTGATTATGAGGGGATACGAGGTGATTTTTAATTACTTGAGCATGATTTGTCGGCGGGGGCGCAACTGGGGGATGGGTGAGTTTTTTTTTAAGAGGTAGGGGGAGGACGTGCGGCCCCTTGTACATCCTAGATATGCCAATATCTAGCATACCCTGCAATTTACCCTACGGTCCACCACTGGACTAGGGTGGTCACTAATATTCTTCTAACATTTTTCAATTTCCAAAGGTTCTAAAATAATATGCAATACACCAAATTATTCACCAAAGATGACGTCATCACAATTTCCTTTAGTGGGTATGAAAAAATAAAAACATCGCACGAAGAACTATGCTAATGTTAATCGAGTGATGTCGAAAGTAGTGCATATTAAATTGTTAAAAATGTAATGAAGTTAGCATAGAAGATACTTTGTAGACAATTTATACAAATGATTCATAGATTTGAGATTAAGGTTGATTCGATTTACAATAATGTGAAGCGCTTAGAGGCTTTGTTAAGGCATTAAGCGCTATATAAGAACGACATATTATTATTATTATATCCATTCAGACTAAAAATATGAAGAGTTTTGAGAGCCCTTCTAGGGGGCCTAGGCTTATCGCTTAGGCAAATCGCCAGAGCTGACTAATAGATCGTCGTTGATTTTGAGGTACACTTCAGACTGTAACTCGGTTTTGTTGCAATTTCTGTATGAAATAATTAAACTTATTGGACAAACTTAAATTGCTGAATTGTAGAATATGTATTTCTTTAACTATGATCAATGAGTCAGAAGAATGTTGTTTTAGCCTGGTTGTAAAACTGCTGAAATGAATTTTAGCGGGAAAAAAGTAAAGGAAAATTAATTTTTGGTTTTTCTGAATCAACATACCCTATAGTGTCTCAGAAAAAAAATCCCCATGCCTAGGGCTTGGGCAATTTTTTTTACAGCACTTTGAAATTTTGGCCTAAATTACCCTATTTTAAACTATTTAAAATGGGGGTAGGGGAAATAACTTTATGTTTTTGGTCACTTTTACATATACTGTGGATATGAAATGTATCAAAATCTTGGCTATATAGTTACTCATCACTCTCATTAAAAAATTTGATTGGAATGATGACGTCATCATGATAAATTCCAAGATGGCGTCCATTATTGTGGGAAAAACTATGTTTTTAATGTAAAAATAATTTTATTGTTATCAAGGTACAATACAATCTCAATACAATATTATACATACAGGAATAAAATAAAACATACATA